GGTTGGACGGGCGACCCTACTCCCTGTCACGTACAACCCCGTCAGTCCTATAATACTAGATAGGCTACGCCATATGCAAAGTATTTATGGTTTTGGGGTAATGATGATTTATATAGGAGCCAAGGGTATTTTATATTGGGGAAAAAAATCATTTTTATTTAGTAAGATAGATAGGCATTATCTAATAAGGAGTGTGGCACTTTGGCATTTTCAAATTATTATTGAAAGGGTCCATGGGACTGACATGTCAAATCTAGGCATCGGAACATTGGTTATTTCGTGTATTAGTTTAAAAGTTATCAAAAATACTTTTAAAAATCGACAATACTTTAGTCTAGATTAATTGTTTGAGTCAGAAATATCACATGTTTGTGACAATTTCTCAATAGTTTCTGTTATCAAAAATATCATAAAACTACGAAATTCAAGCGATTTGGTTTATCGATACGCCTTATTTCCATTGAAGCCTGCGAGTACATCAAATGCCAAGGTCACGAAAGCGACATGCAAGTTCAAGGTCAACCAACTGATACATTTCGAAACGAATAACACGCCATAAACTTATTTATTTCATCTTTCTACGGCTGTCTGAACATGTGCAGGCGTTGTTACAACGTATGAAACCCTACTCATTGGTATTGTAACGGTTAGTTCAACCTGGGAACAGTTTTCAGTTCCGAAGCGTGTATGCTTACACCCTAAGTGTCCTGACCGTAAATGTGCACTGCGCGAGCGCAAGCAATTTTAACTAAAATCTATTAAAATTGCATTTTAAGTTACAATCCATCTTCGTGAAACGCATACAATTTAAATTTTCAATTTGATTTTAGATAAAATCTATTTTAGTGATTTTAGTTTAAGTTTTTGTGAAACAGGGCCCCGGTCTCTAATGTAATAATCTAGTGGATTGGTTCAAGTCCAAAAGACGTCGATACCAACACATTCAACATAAAAACCCACTTTCCACTATGAATGAATATCAAAATGAGACATAAAAGATTTATTATTCAAAATATTCATTAATATAAAAGATCTGTCTTGTCGTCTAATCCACCTTAAATTATCTCTGAATCCGGTAATGGATCTCTGATTAATCCGATTGAATCCAAGTCGGAAGATTATCTTGCGTTGATATAGCGTGGATTAAGCTGTATTTTGTCTGAGAAATGATAATGACGATCAGCGACCGGCAATACTATATACCGGAAAACAACATGGTATTTTCCTGTGTTTTCCGGTATATAGTATAGCCCATCCGCGAATTGCCTGCATGATAAAAATTTGGTAACGGAAATAGATGTGACAACCGCACAGTATACAACAAGATTGTAGACATGTCATCCAGACACACAACTATCGGTTTGAATACTAGTCGCCATTCAAATTAAAACTGAATTTCCTTAAAGCTTCAGATAGTTGCGTGCGACTATACATAGTTTTCACGAACAGCCATTACCACTTACCATTACGAGTATTCTCAACCAGTTCGATTTTGCCGAAAAGATGTGATCAATATGTTTGGTTTTTATGATAACCTTTTTCCCACAAATCAATGAGGTTTACACGACTAAAATATATCTGGAGCTACTCCTTTCAAGGTGTACACTAGACGATGCTGATAGTACTGTATAAATAAAACTCACTGCTAATAACAGTTATCGTGTTAAATTGAAATAAATTTCAGATTATGCAATGACATCGGCACACGCTTCGACTTTATCTTGTCAGTCTTATCGTACCATAGCGAAAATCGCAGTGTGTGATGATGGTTTTAAGAATAGATCATTTTGTGACCTTTGTATGTTATTGCAAATATGCACGTTTGTGTACATATACTTTTAAAAAATAACACAATATGACATATCTACGTAATAGTTGTTTATCACGACTAGGTGACTATGTATTTGATTCCTTTGTTGTGTTTGGAATATTATATTACTTACGCAATAAATGTTTTTGTGGAGACTAAATTGGAAAAAACATATGTACTTCTATGGGAATAATACCTTATTTGGGCTAAGATCTTTTAAAAAGGCTAATTCCACCTTATTAACGGGGACAGTATTTTCCATCTTTATGTCATATGACTCTTGGGTAGATTCGTGCTTCAAGAAAAAAAAATACATATGACGTATACACACGATTTCCCTATTACATACTATCTTTCCTGGTTTGATCACGAACTGTTCCAAATAAAGAAGGCGACACATACTGTTTCCCTAGTGCTAATCTTGATACACACTTTATATGTATACAGTATTGATTTTCTGTTATTCACTGACATACGGGACGACTTCACTTCTATCTTATGCAATTTTATCTCTGGCAAAAGTAAACCGAGAAATAAAGTGTGTAGTCTGCTACTGTGATGAATGGGCTCTAATTCTTATCAGGAACTGCGAGTTGGGGTTAAAGCCCCCTCATATCAAAATTAAATAAATTCTTTGTTCAGTTTGCTCATGACTTTTGCCATTGTTTCTATCAGACCGACAAGAAGGGATTGGCAATACTGCGAAATTTCGTAACAAAAAAATCATCATTATTATTCAAAACAACAATTACTGCTTTAAATCAAACTGCCGTGTTGAGCTGAAACACTTAATTGGCACTTCACACAATAGGTAAGAAAGTTTGTAGTTTAAGAGACGTTTAATATTTTTCAATATTTATATTCACCTGTACATTGCTTATTGATAATATTTTTATAGGTATTCGTCATATGTAATTGTTGTACTGTTATTTTGGAAAACCATTTGTGTGGGATTTAGTTTCCCCATTGGATACCAATTACTCGTATAGCGCCTAGGCGTGATTTTCTTTTATTCAGGTGGGGATTGTGGGATTTCTAAGATTAGTAATATTTTCCCTCAATAGTTCGTCTACTTTATAGAAATTCATTCTTTTCGCCTTATACTACCCTATGGAATTCTGTAAATAGTTTAGTCGAGAATCGAAGAAAATGTTTGGAATTTATATTTTCCGTCAGGTTTGGGAGAATATTATGAGACTAAAGGATCAGAAGGGAAACATGAATTCGGGAAATTGAGAGGGTTATCGCCCCTTCAGTAGTTTTATCAAATGATTGTGACATGTTGATGTTTTTGTTGTTATGAGGATCAAGATAATCGGAATGTTAAAGACATGACATGGGTTTAACACTGAAGTCAATGGGGAGTGAACGGACAGTCTGAGCTCATATACAAAATATATTAGTGAATAGTATGGTTCCTTAACATCTGCTGCTCTTTAAAGTCTGGCATTTTAAAACTCCGTACAGCAAATGCTACATTAGTTCTGTATTTGTATTCAAACAGGAGTTGAGTGATATTCTATAGGTATGCATGGTGTTGAAAATTAATGGAATGTGCTTGCACAATAGTTTGATTAATTTTGGATCAGGCGATACGCATCTTGCTGACCTTGTTCTTGTTGTTGTTTATAGGGGCGACGCTTATTTGAAAAAAGACCCAAGTCTCCGCCAATTCAACTACGATCGACATGAAACTTGTCATTGCATGTCTGACTTTGTTATGACCTCATAAGCTCGTACTTGTTAAGTGTGAACAGCGGCGATTGCACATACTTGTTTTCAGTTTCAATGAACATACGGGTTGATGGGACAGATGGGTAGTTTGAATTTCTTGAGAGTCAAAACCTAAAAAAAAACCACCAGCATCAAACAGTCTACGTTGACAGCGAAAAGTAGAACATTAAACCCCATTTCAGGTCATTAAACAGCGACGTCACAGCAATCATACACTCGTCATGCAGATGTCTGGGATATCACATGATCGTTCAAAATGGCGAATCCTTCATTACACCATAGTATTATTGTAGCTGTCTTAACCTATTCATTGGGTGTTTTTAACATATGAACGCCGGGCCTACGTTTAAGGAGGAGCCTGAAATCCCCAGTGGTTCTTCCTGGCCCACGACGGGATTTGAACCAGGAATATACTAGTTGAAAGTCCAGTGTCCTGGTCGCTCGATTACCGCGGTTCGCGATCTTCGTAAACGTACTACGTATTATTCTGGGCCAATGTCTTTAAAATCAAATGGAAATTGCTTTGCAATTTATTTTTCTACATTGGCAACTAACATATAGAGTCAAATCAAGTCCCAGGTTACGCTTGTGTTAAGGTTGTATCGTAGTGGTGTTCTTTTTTATGCCTTACCCCGAGCCTCTCAATTTAACGAACGTTTAACACCAGTGTATACACTAGTTTAGTACCAGTGTTAAAAAAAACACGATACCACAAGACGTGTTATTTTTAAATGTTCCACTTTTTTGTTTTTGTCTCCTGATCTAACGCATCCAATTGTTTGCAGGGACAGGCTGACTATAATAACCACCAAAAGAAAGATAATTGAGGCAAACTTCTAACTGCTGTCGGGAAATTAATTAACTGGGATCTATGTTGTATTTCTGTTGTCTCCATATATGGCTTGAACTGAGATTTGTTTTGACACCTAGTGTTAGAGTTATTTTAACAAGATAATAACTTTTATCAAGCTATTTTTATCGAACAACACTTTAGGTAAATACAAATAATATTGTTTATTGTGTCTTTCACTGTAGACAACAACATATACGCACTAAAGTATTTAATCATGTTCAATCTCCATAGCAACTGAAAAAGTTATTCCAGACATTGCTATTTCTCCACATAAATATTGTGAAATAGTTGGTGTATATTTGAGGAAAAGTATAAATTGCTAAGTCATTATTATTCATCACAGTTTGTAGTAACAGGTAAACAAGCGTGTTTTTAAACCCGAGTTAACAGAAGTTGGACTCTCTTTGATTGTTCTTGGTAGCTTATTCCATATTTATCACGTAGAATGGTGTATAAACTACCTTTGCTATCTGAGAATCCATCTGCAGAATGAGACGTTAGTCTTGTCATTAGTCCCGCTCGTTAAGACGTTCTTAATCATATACAAACACATACCAAAACATAACAACTATAAACACGAATCATTCATTGCCGGCAGTATTATTATACATGTGGAGTTGATGACGGGAACTGTAGCGGAGCTTGCCAAGAACGCCACACGATTTGACTTGAAATTCAGTCTACTTGTAGGGCCAGCTGCCGGCATATAACGGTTATTGGCTGCTGATCATTCTCACAGCTCGCATCCATTAAGTTGAACATCATATGTTCGGCATTACATGGAGTACTTATTGTGTATATATTTATTAAAGGATCTAGCTTAGACCTTCACTTAATTCTCAAGGTAAGTGATTTAAATATATTTTTACCGGTGAAAGCTTTAAGTTAAATTGGCATACCACTTCTACATTGCCAATGGTACATGTCTCGAACTCTCGAATGGTATCAGTAATTATTAAGCTCATGGCGACATTAAACACACGATATGGCATTATATGTATGTATACAATATAGGTACTTATACCTATGATAAAATATATCGTATAGTTGATGCCCGCGTGTCATCCAGATGTTGACTGTTGTTTTAATGTGATGCTTAATGATAAACAGGGGCAGTTTGTATTCGATTGTATACATTGTTCAAATATTTCCTCATAGTTTGAAGTAACAGTTTCGGGTTCCAATCTAAACCCAAACTAGCGGCCAATTTAGAAATATGTAGTGAGGGTGTCATGCACCATACACGATATGCCGAGTCATGCTTGAACACCTGACCTTTTCTGTTGTAATTTAATGATTTTGGATAAGAGTGCTGTCAAGTATAAATGATAAAACGGTACCATCATCAGGTTTATCTGATTAAAACATTGGTTTAGTGGTGGTGGGGGGATACAGTTGTGATTCCGACTGAACTTCCAGGGTACCCTTTTGTTCTGTGGAGATCAATAAAATACGATTTGTGTGTGTGACAAATGTTTAGGTCAGTTTTCGTATCAGGTTCACTAATAAATTACTGCACTATACTAACAACGCAATATCTTGTATTTAGCTATGGGTAATTGTGTTTTCGTGGGACAAAATACAGTGCCCTTCCTTGAATATCTCTGAAAAACGACCGATACACATAGTAATAGCACACCATTTCTATATTACCGTAAGTAAACCCTGGTTGGGACACGACATCCGTCTTAACTGGTACGGACAGGTTGAAAAGTATAGATCAATTCGGTTGAAACAAACTTTAGCCACCTGACGATGAATCGCGTCCAGAAAGGCTATCAACAGCAACCATTCAAGAAAACATTACCCGGGTGCATAACGTGGTGATAGCTGATTGACGATTGACATTCGTAACTTGACATATTGCCATTGTTGTTGCCATCTCTTATGAGAAGGTTGAGCATATTATTGCCAACGAGTTACGAATGACAAAGGTTTCTGCAAGATAGATGCCAAATCTCTTAATTGCGGATCAGAAACGTGTCAGGTTCCTGACGTCCCCTCTGATAATCTCCACCGTTTTGAATCAGATTCTGATACTTTTTTGGCTAGATTTGTAACCACGAATGAGACCCGTTTCAAATAAAAGATAAAGGAACTAGTCGGCCGTCATTTTCCATGTAATGATAACGTCATGTTAGGCGTGAACGACTTTTTTTAGGGAGACTGAAGAAAATTTCTTCCTGATCGGCACCCACACCTTGCAACATCGTTGGCAAAATTGTATACTTTGAACAGGTCTTTCACAGATAGGCTTAGAACTTTTCATCCAAACCTCGTAGCTAATGTTAATGGCGGCATATGTAATTGAAATTTCAAAATAAGGGAGATCTGGCTGCTAAAATCGATTATTCAAAATTTTCAATGGACGTCTTTGATTTTTTGTTTTTTGCTTAATTACACATGTTCAGATATACAACACGTGATAAATTGAGAACCTCGGTTTCCACTCCCATGTGGATTGGACTAAAAAACGTGTTTCAGACAGCAATAATCTTAAACAATTACAGCATAATCAATTATCTCCGAGCAGATATAAATTTTTTGATGGAAGTTCTCAACTGGCATTTAAGGTGCTTTATTTCTAATTCAGCTGGATTTTCTTTCAACATGACTCCCTAAGAAGAACACTGGGTACGCATCGGTGTGTACATAATACCGTTGTGACACCTGTTTTAAGGTGTCTACAGAATTGAAGTTTCATGTAGACACTTACTCCGCTAGAAAACTAAATCGCCATATGACACTATTTTATTAGTATTATGGGCCAGGAGCAACGCCGAGAAGAACAGTAGGACGTTAAACCCTATTTCATTTCATTTATTTCCGATGATATCACATCAACACGTTGATGATACCGGTTAGTATATAGATCAATGACATCGCCGCACAGTACCATTTGTCAACACATTACATTCATTAAACATTTACGCTTGAATGAGAAAATGAAATGAATAGAATAACTTGTCAATATTATATGCCGAATCGTTATATTACAATATACATTATAATTACATACTAGTATAATATCATACTGCAGCCGGTAGCTATTGGAGGTATATGACATTGTTTGGTATTAGGGGCACCGGGAGATTAATGGAGATTTATTATAAGCGAATGTACTTTTAACGGATTGATTAAATTAATGATTCCTCATTGCCACGGAATCATACCATAGGTCCAACAGGTGGTATTCCATGAACAAATGACACCAACTCAGCCACCTAATTATTTTCGAACGATTTTATTCGATATCAAGGGCATCACTGATATTTGATTTAACACACTCTTTGGATTGAATATTACAATGTCACGAAGACTAGACCTACTGTCGTTACCGCATCGAAATAACTTTGATTGACGTTGGAATAACATGCGTCATTCTTCAAAGGAGACGTAATAACGGTTCAATGTCAGTGAATTAGCTGCTAATTGAAAGGAGCTAATTCTCTATTGTTTGGCGTAGAATATTGGCATAAGTATTGGATATCAGAAGCCCATCTTTTCACTGTAAGATAACAACATCAATGTCGATTTAAATTGACCAATAAGTCCTGTTTGCAATGTCGAAGACTGCGGATAATATTGAGTTAAAGACTTGCGTCCTTTAACTCTTCTCGTCAACACGATACTTCGTCATGTTTACAATGGCAACGTATGCTTTTCTACGGAGGTGAATTGTGTCCGGACAGCCGCGTTTCTGCCTAGTTTTTTCTATCGATTTCAAGCTGCCAAAATTTCTTTTACATGCACGAAAATGTACACGCCGGTGGAATTGGTTGGTTTTCCATCTCACTGAACGTCTTAGGCAACATTTTACTTATGAATTCCGCTGACGTCTCCCCTGACTATTGTTCAATGGCTGAAGAAGATCGAAATATTGAGTTCGTAATTTGAATAATTAAGATACTCTTTCTTGAAAGTAGAAGGATTAATGTAAATTAATCTTCAGATGTTTCTTCCTTTGGTAATTTTAAAACTTAAATTATTACGCATTGCTTAATGCCTCTCTAAATATAGGTTGATCTAACCGCTCCGAATCTAGGGAATATTATATTGAAATGTAATAATCAGAAATCCATTTCATATAAAAGTTTTCTTTATTTTAAGAAACAAGCAGAATCGTTTGTTTTTGTTTATAAACACTGCTGCAAATTGTGGATATAATCATATTTCTGTTTCCCAAATTTAGTTTATATTTTAATTTTCATACCTGACCTTCCTTTCTTGTAGTCTTTGCAATTTCGATTTAGACATTAATTTAATTACTTCTTACAAAAACCCCAGTTCAATTAAGTTACGAAATGTGTCAAATCATTGAATGAGATTTTTATCATTTTGTTTTGTGTGGTTTTCAAAATATCATACAATCAGAAATGAAATGAAATGGAGTTAACTTCCTACTGTTCCGCTTCGACTGGGCTACTGAATATGGGCATACGTCGCACGGTGTGTTATGAAGGAAATCTAGCTCGGATAGAAGCGCTGCGGCCAACTCTTATATCGAATCCAACTGCCAAGTACAGTCTCTTGCCAGACTCTCTGTCCAGCATCACTGACAAATCTATAAACGTCATTGGCCAACAAAGGAATCGAACACGGGACCTCCAGGTAAGCCAGGCAACCCCCCTACTCACTGAGTCACTGCGACTCCCTCTTACGATCAGATCAGATTTATTTAAATAAAGCAACACAGAATATGCAAATTGTGTTCGCTTTACCAAAAGTAAAATGACCAACCAGCTCATTAAACAGCGAACACAGGCTCATATCTATCGGAGCCTATAACTACCATTCATAATTTCTACTTTTCGCCTCTTCAAAACACGAAAGTCGAAAAGTAGAAGTTACGACAAAATGTGAGGCGACAACACGCTATACAAGCCAAAATCAACTCGAAAATAGGAAATTAAGAAATGACACACAGCGATAATTGCGCCCCCCCCCCCTCGTTTTTTCCTAATTTCTTATTTTCGAATGGCATTTTGGCTTGTATACTGTCTTGTCGACTTTCGACTTAGTCATATTTTTGTATTTATTGATGTCAGTAAGAAGGCGCCAACACGCTATGCAAGCCAAAATGCAACTCGAAAAGTAGAAATTAGGAAATTAACACACCACGCTATTAGCGACTTTTCGATTTTGGCCTCGGAAGTTGTTGTAGTCTCAGTTTTCCAGGTCGCATTTGAATACGTGCAATCCGGGCTCAAACTGTATTTCATTCTTTTCCGTCAAAATGGATAATAATTTTTATATAATTTGAATAGTAGGGGATATTTGATTTTTAAGTGTTATTAAAGTCACCAAATGAAACTGACGAAGAAACAAATGACAAAATGAAATGAAGTTCACATTCATCGATTTATTCCAAATGATCGTTAGACTAAGTAAGGCACAGACTGACCATTATAAGGGTAAAATGATACCCGGGGTCAAACAGCAAAGTTACCACAGCATCACAACCAAGTCAGTAACGGGTAAATCCTCCTCTGTTTGCCAAACAAGCATTGATCCGACGTGGCATACTCCTAATGAGACGTCTAAGGTCATTTTGGTCCAGATTGTCCTATTCCTGTTGCAACGCAGCAGCAAGTTCTTGGACATTGGCAGGACGTTGTTGACGTTGACGTAACCTTTGTCCAAGCATGTCCCAGACATGCTCGATGGGGGAGAGGTCGGGACTCAGTGCTGGCCAAGGTAATGTGGTGATGTTCTGTTGTTGGAGGTAACCTGTAACGATCCTGGCCCTGTGACATCTTGCGTTGTCATCCTGGAAGATGAAACGGCGGCCATGACGTCGTGCGAACGGCACAACATGGACTACCAAGATGTTGTCCCGGTAGT